AATTGTTTTTAAAATCTTCTAAAATGTTATGTTCGCTTTAATAAATTGTATTTTGAATTTTATTATCGTACCTAATCAAATTTTATATTTACTAACTGCCTGTGTAAGGCGATTCCGGGCGTTGTGGAAGCCGCAATTAATCAGCATTTCAATAATATATTAAAAATATAAATAGTTTGAATGCACGGATTAGATAGACATTTTTCATGAGTATTGCAGTACATTTAACTATTATAGCTAAGAGTTTTAGTAGGACCTTGGTATGTTGATTGTTTATGACAATGTCGTTACATACATAATAATGTAAGTAATAATAAGTAAACATGAAAAGACTACAATAAATTCAATACATTTTAATTTCTTAAAACATACATGTTATGTAATATTATGCCTCGGGGGGCACCGTTCGGATCTTATTCGCGTTCCCCGCTAAATTTACAGTCGGCGCGCGGCCCTACTTTTTCAAAAACGAGTCCCCCGGCGGACGATTCGATCGCCGAGAGCGCCGCGTCGTCGCCGTTTCGACGGTTTTCTCGACTTTTTCGATTAGAGTCGCGTTTAGCAACTCTACGAGACGTTCGACCTCCCCGTCGGGGACGTATTCGAGTTCCACGCTAAATTTATAGCCGGCGCGCTTACCTACTTTTTCAAAAACGAGTCCCGGGGAGGAGCGGCGTCGCTTAAACGAGAGTAGGTAGGTACCGAGTAGGTACCGCTATATACAGGCATAAATACGTGCGTCTCGAGGTTCGATTTTTTTGCAAAACTCGAGTATTATACGTCCGAGGGTGGCGGAGCCGGTCGTCCGCTCGCCGAAGAGGTCGGATCGCGCGCTCAAACGCCCTTTGACGGCCTTCCAAACGGCGTCGCCTTTCGCGGGGACGGCGACGCGGCTTAAGAGTCATAGATTTGACTCCTAATTTTATCTCGGTAGGTGGCTAGGTAGGTTAAGCGTCAGAACGGGTCACCCGACAGTCGTGGTTACGAACCCGGCGGCCGATTTAAATGGAAATTCTTTTTTTTTCGTCACATTTATCATTTTTAACGAAACTTACACCCCCACTGCAACCGACACTCGGGAATCGACTTTTACCCGAGATGACTGATAGCTAGACACTCAAACTCAGAGAACCCGAATTTCCGATTTCAACACACATACGAGAACCGGACATACACGCTCGGGGTACGGTCTGCGATCCGACGTAGTCGGATTGCCTAACTGGCTGGTTGTGTTGTACGATCGACTTGAATCGCGTGACTTACGACTAGACACTCTTCCGAGTTCAAAAATTACCGCTTAACCAGTGCTGCCAACACGACAAAACACAATACCCGACGACCCCCCATTCCCGCCGCAAGACGGATCAAAAAACCCAGCATCGCCGACAAAGATGCACCACCGCCCACACAGTCTTTCCGCCGCAGGCGGGATGACAAACGCCAAAATCTAGTATGTAATAAAATTTAAATAAAAGTTTAATTTTTTTATATTATGTATCAATTAAATCATTTGACAATATTTATTTATTTAAAATAAAATCAATAAAATAATTATTATTTCAATTTATCGAGTTTTAATGGAAATATTTCAATACACGGTCAAAAACACCGTGTGCGTGGAATCTCGTGAATATTTTTAATGCGTGTAACCTAGGGTTAAAATTGTATTGTGGTATTAAAATATATTAATAACTAATGATTGTTTCAAGTGGATCGTTTATAAAAAAATTGAATTACATTTACTTATGTTATAATTAGTACCCATATTGTTATCCTTTAAATACAAATTAAATACAAATTTAATTACAAATCACTATTGAAATGTCACCAATGTAAAATAAATTAATAACGAACAGATTATAATAATATGTAGGTACGTTCCTATACCTACTCTACAAATGTTCATTGATAATAATGGACATAACAAATTTCAGTCACCACACGAATGCCTTTAGGGCTTAGGTATAGTCATCATTTATGAGTTATAATGAATACAAGACATTGTACGAGCACGACATAATATAATATAATATAATATAATATAATATCATACACATAATTGGACTCATTATCTGTACCTAATATTAGTTTTAACAATTACCATTTATTATAAATACTATTATTTATATCAATGCTATTGCATATTATACGATAAACCATCAAATAAAAATTGCAACTAACTACATATTATAAGAATAATATGTGACATCGTTCTACCTTTTTTTTTCGTTAACGCTTATTACCTATATACATATACCTACATACTTAGTAAAATAATTTAACGTTTACTTAATGTAATCTAATGCATATACTTTACAGTATAAATTATAATATTTTTCAAGCTTGCAACCACTTTATTTTATTATTACTTATTAATAATGCATAATATCATTGATTATAAATACTATAGATAGCCCACTGCTATAGAAAATATGCTGCGCCGTAATTACTCCCGATAGAGAGCGCTAAGGAATTGGCCTGTAATAAAATAAAATTATTATTTCTAATCGTCATTATCGTCGCCGACCGCCGCCGAGGACAAGCGTTGTCGTGCGTTGTCGTGTGTCGTCGTCAAACGGCAAACGCCGTCGCCCGTCGCAGTCGTTCAGCGATTGCAATAGTATTGCATTCACAGATGACAGATCCGACGCCGATAGCGGCCAGAACATAGATTAAAGATTATTATAGATAGGCGACTACTCTGATAAACCGTGCACGTAAAATAGCGCTCCCGGTGCCATTCTTTGGACCTAAAATCCGGGCGGTCGGCGGTGGCCGGTGGCTCGCCGCCGCCGCAGCTACTACAGCACCCCTAACCGTGTTATTTTTCTCATTGTTTTATAGATATTCCGATATTCGTATTCATTTTCATTCATAATAAAATAAAACTAATCACTTATTAGTTACTTTTTTGTATGAACTGTTTATGCAGTATATTTAATTTGATGTATTGCTGTGAAGTAAAAAAAACCATAAAAAATATATTGTTGATACAAATTTTACATAACAACCAATTTTTAATAATAAAAAATTATTAATTAATAAAAATACATTATAAATATTTTAAATAAAACTTTACAAATTAAAATATATTTTAATTTATATAATACAAAGTTAGGTACATAACAACCAAATTTTAATAATAAAAAATTATTAGTTAATAAAAATACATTATAAATATTTTAAATAAAACTTTACAAATTAAAATATATTTTAATTTATATAATAGAAAGTTAGGTACATAACAACCAAATTTTAATAATAAAAAATTATTAGTTAATAAAAATACATTATAAATATTTTAAATAAAACTTTACAAATTAAAATACTTTTTAGTATTCACAACTAGGTATATAATAACAATTTTTACAAATGAATTAATATGACCTAATATTATTATTAAAAAAATATTAGAAATAAATAGAAAGATATTTTTAAAATATGTGAAAAGAAACATGGGTTTACGGGTTAATATAAATTTGATGTGGTTTTTATTTAATTTTTGATTTATATCTTTTAGAATGGGTTTTATAGTAAGAAGAAGCCATTATTTTAATTTCATCATCAATATTACTTTGTTTTGTATCCAATCCTCGTAAAATACGGTTAATATTTTTAAAATAAGTAAAAAGGAACATATGAACTGTTTTTTTAATCAGAAAATTTTTAACATCGTGGTCTGGACAGGTAAAACTATGTTTAAGATTAATTTCATTAATTAATATTAACTGTCTTGCAACATTTTGTTTATAAAAAATATCATTTATGCATCTTGAAGAAATCGTAAGTATATCCTTAACAAATTTAAACAGTTTTGCTGTTGGATTACATAATCCATATTTAATTGTTTGATACTGGCGAGCTTTTATGAGGGGATTGGTTACATTTTCACTTCTCAACTCTGATTTACAAATATTGCATTTAAGGATATCCACTAATTTCTTTCTGATTATAAATCCAGCTATATAGCTGACCGTCATATCATTTATATTATTGAGTTTATTATTATATACGTTAGCATTTATATCAATAAAATTAATATCAATAGGAATTTCTTCATCATTAACTGTACCTGTGAGAAATGATTTTAAATTAATTAAGGGGTCAATTTTATGTTGTTGGCAATTCGTTTGATTTGATGTAATTGAAGAAAAATTATTAAGTAGCAAAGTTTTAAAAGAATTTAAGAAATGATAACAATCTGGATTAATATTTCTACCTGAAAGCTGTCTGAATTGGCCAAACAAACATTCAAGAGGATCCTGGTTAATATTACGGGTTAACAGAAATTTGAAGTTATTTTTACTCAATTTTTGCCATAAATATTTCATTCCCTTTAATGTTACAATCCAGTTTTTTACACAGGGAGGTTTAGTAATTTTACCATTATTATCTATAAATTCCATTGATTTAAACACATTGATTGCTTCATTCCAAAATGAGACATGCTTCGATTTGGATCAGGGTTTAAAAAACCCACGGGTTTTTTTAAAAAACCCAACCCGGTTGGGTTTAAATGGGTTTAAATGGGTTTTAATGGGTTTAAATGGGTTTTAATGGGTTTTAAAAATGTTCAAATAAATGCTGTTTCCTGACACTTTTTTATTAGGGAAGTTCCCTACAAACCTAACCTATAAAACATAAATGTACCATTTTAAATTGTTTTGAACAAGATATACATAATCGTATATCTTTAATCGTGGTTTTGACAAGTGTAAATATTATAATAATATAATAATGTATTATTATATAATATATTCCCATCTTCATTCTACGGTTGGTCACTCTTGACTGTCGAAGTAAAATTAATTAAGAAATGTAAAATTATAATATTTAATGTTTTTGCTTACATTTGTATTGTTACTAAAAAGTAATAAAAAATAAATATGCAGTTTGAAGTTTTTATTTTTTGGTTTGTTGGTTTTTTTTACTGGGTTTTTTTTCTGGGTTTTTTCCTGGGTTTTTTTTGCCGGGCCCAACCCATTAAAACCCGGTGGGTTTTAATGGGTTGGGTCCAGTACTTCGAACCCTGATTTGGATGTTACTGCTGAGCGCAGATATTTTCCATGTGATTGACGAACAGAATTAGCATTTACTGAATCGAATACATTATCCATAAACAAACAAAAATCTGCAGTGCCGATGGCTTTTTGACCTAGTTGTTTATTGTCAGGAGCTGTAATATAAAACAAAAACAGACTATAAATAGGTACTAAATTATTTATGTGTTGTCATATGCTTACCCATGTCACTCATTAGTCTCATAGTGGATGCCACTTTATGGCTAAATATCTGTGATGCGTAAGAGACTTTCATCTTCTTTATTTTTTCTTTATAAACATGAGCTTCTGTAATTTTGGGTAAACAGCGCATCTCCAACTGTTCATACTTTTTGTCGATTTCATATAAATTTACCAAATGGTCCCATGTTGCTGTTTGTCGTTTCCCCCTCCAAGTGAAATTAACATTTTTAGTTAATAAATTATTACGAATTGATTTCAGCAAGTGAGGTGGATCATATATATGAATTATTTCATGTCCATTAATTAAATATCCTTCATATCTATCTATATTTTCTCTTAGACAATATTGGCGGGTTTCTTCCATTAAAAAGTTAATTGCTGCAATATTAGTCATTCCTTGGTCCGATACGGTAGCCACAATATTTAAACCAGTATTAAGTACATTTAGAATGACTTCTTTAATACATTTAACAAGCTCCTGTGATTTTGTTGTTCCTTTTATAAAATAGAAACATATTGGTTGTTTATATTTCTTATGGATTCCACGAATCATAAATGTCAATACATGATCTGCAAAAATTGGTTTTCGACTTTCGTCTATAATTCCCAAAATCTTCCAACCCAAAAACGCAGTCCTTGTGTTTATCATACTGTAATCCTGCTTCTAATGCCATCTCGTCAAACATGATAGTACAATAACGGTCCATTGGACTTAACTTTTCAACAATTTTTTTTAGGTGTTCAAAAATGTGTACATTTATACCTGGTCCAAGAGGAACTTTCCGTAGCAAACTCATTATTGTTTTTACTGAAGGTAATGCAAATAAGGAAGATAAATATTTGTATCCCTTCGGGCTTTGTTTGTAAATAGATAAAGCAAGGATTTTATCATCATTCAAATACCGACGGCCATGAAGTTTTTTTTTCTGATTTTTCAGTTGAGAAAGGAAGAAATTATAAGTACTTGAGTTGACTTTGTCAACTATTTGTGTGAAGTTGTCTTCTTTCATAAACTTATCGGCAAGTTTAACTCTATGCTTAAAGGTGTTTATTTTAGATTTATTTCTTGAAAGTTGATTTTTCAGTTTGATGCTTGCTTTATATAATTGTTTGCAATTAGGTGTCATTTTATTTGGTTTTACTGTCTGATCATGTAGAAATGAACTGCGTTGTCCTAAGCAAAATAAAATATAATGTATTAGTAAGGGATTTAAAGCTTCCATAGTTGTATTAGTTTAGGCATAATTGTCTATAATGATCAGAATAAACATTATTGAACTTACTTTTATTTTTTTTAGGTGTACATATACTCATTTGTATCAGTGGTTGAGAAGAAATTATTTCACTAATATTCAATAGGTCTTCTACTTGTTCATTATAATCACTACTATCTAAAACATACATATAAAACATGTTACACATTAAGCATGAAAGTACAGTTATGTTGAAAATCACCATTGTTTTTTGTCTTAAACGGTGTAGAACTAGTCGGTAATGTACATTTTTTTTCACCATCAATGACAGATGTGGTCTGTTGTGATTGTTCATTAATATCTATAATTATAAAATATTACTATTAATGAATTATTTATTTAGAACTTAGGTAGAAATTTAGTATCTGACAACACACTTGGATAATGTATTAAGAAACACTTTTATTTTATGATTATTTTTTAATAATTTTTAAATTTATTTATTGTATTCATTGTCTTTTGATCATTTAGTTAAGTATATTATTATGAACTGAAAACAATAAAAAATAAAAATATATTACCTACACGGGTCTAACTTTTTTTGGTTTTATCATTTGACATTTATATAGTTTGTTTATAATTATAATAATAGTATACACTATACAAGTAATGTTCTCTTTAGAAGTTTAAAACATAAAACTTTGAATAATTAGTCACCTAGTGAAATTATTTTAATAGATCAACTGACAATTTTTCCCATTATAAAATACTACATTAATTTAATTATTTAATACTTACCTCTATTATGATTGGGTGGTGTTCTGCTTGACCAGCTCAATGATCCTTTTATAGCAGCTAATTATAACATTTTAAAATTATTAATTTGTACTGCAATATGTACAAACATAAATAACACAGACACAGTACGATCATAATATTTCCAACATATAAAACATACATGCACACATTGTTTATCCAATAGTTGATGTTTTCCAACATAAATATTCCAACAACTACGTAATAAAACAACAATAAATAATATACTATTTAATATGAATACTAAACCAAGGAAAAAATACCAAAGTATGAAATTGTTAAATCTAATAAAAAATATAATTAGATTTTTTTGTAAAAATCACAAGAAATAATGAATACAATTATTTTAATAACACATAATTAATTCATATTACTTATCATTGAAACGATACATAGCACTTAAATAATAAGTGTTTTTAATAAAAACAAAAATACCACAACACAATTTTACACAAATAATATTATAGTTAAAGTGAAAACAGTAAATAAACAAAAACAAAGTTAATACTATATCAGGGCTAGAAGTGATTAAAACTAATAAAAATATAATTAGATTTTTTTGTAAAAATCACAAGAAATAATGAATACAATTTTAATAACACATAATTAATTCATACTACCTACCATTGAAATGTTACATTTCAGATAAATAATACAACATTCAAACAGATTTTGAATAACATATACATGCACCAAACACATAGGAGTAGGACAAAATGTTACTTGGAAGATTCAATGTTGGAAGTGAATGTTGTTTTAATTTTTGATTTGTACCCGGAGAGTCACAACGTTTATCAAAATGCTTTCTACATATTTGATAAGTTTTCCGTACACTTTCTTTTTCAAGATCCACTAAAATGGAATTGCCAGTTCTCTCTACCCAAAAGTTAAAATCTACATCATTTTTTGGGAAGACATATTTTCTTTTGGCTGAATCCTTACATCCGACCACTGAACATTTGTTTGATACCATACTGAACTATAAATTTGCAATCATGACTCATGAGTTACCTAAAATATATTTAATAACCAAATCTAAAATAATTTACTGACCTGTTGACGTGTTAAGTTCAAGTCGTGGAAATAAAATAAAAACGATGTACCTACTGGTTAGAAGGCCCATAAAGGCTATGGTCTACAACTACAAACACAGAAAATCACAGTAAGATTCTTTTCTTATTAAACAAAAACTAAATTAAACTCGAATAAATATTTAAATGTAGTTCAAATGTAAAATTATAAGAAAAACGCAAAGAACCAAAAACAGTTGAATACATAGAAAAAAGATTAAGTTGAAGATGACAATAAATGACATTCCAAGTTTCAACTTTTAGCGTGACATCAAGACAGACAACAAGATTTATGTTCCTAACCTAAAAAATCATACAGCGCTAGCGGTGGTATTCTCGTACACTATTTTACAATTCCTATATTATCATCAGTAAGTGCACAAGGCCTGGGCCAGAATACGAACGGTCTGTTCACAGTTTGCTCACATAAAAAGTTTTTCCCTTTAATTCGATTACTTAGGTACTCATTTATGTACATTAAAATACTTTTCAAATACGTCAAAACTAAATTCACATTCATAATATCACAAAATAATAATAATATTTAATTAGGTTCACTAAAATGTTTTTCGATTTAACGATTAACGCAATTTGTACACTGAAATAGTACATCGTTACCCTGCAAAATAAATAATGTAACATTCATCCGACTTTATTTTTTACTGTCATTGACTTAAATTACCATTGTACTTACCTCTGTGACCACCTATAAGCCAATGACTAAGCGTATTTTACAATTTATTGTTTTATTAAAATTTAACTTCTAATAATGTTCAAACAAAAATAATATATTTTTTTCATAATAAAAATTACAAGAAGATTTTTAAATTAATGAAACAAATAACAATTGAGTTTATCTTCAACTCTATTAAGATATAAAAAATATTACTATTTAAAATTTTTTTTTGTAATAATAGATAATATAATAAATAGGTATAATAAATTACTTAGATATTTTGTAAAACCCGAAGTTTATCTGCATTTTGCATTGATCGCTTTCCGCTGTTTGCATTTAGCCACTTGCATTCTTTGTATAATTTAGTTCTTAAAAGAAGTTCAATAATATATTGAAAGTGTTCTTTGCATGAATTAGATTGTAAAATTGAATATTTGTCCTCTATTTTAGTTTCTGCTTTAGAAATTAATTGCGCTAATAATTTTTTGTTGCACTTCATTTCATCAAAATTATTTTTAAAAACATTTAAACATATAGTAGATATATCTAATAATATATTTGTTGGTGCTTTCAACCCATACCCTTGGTCTGTATAATCATACGTTTTGTTATGTAATAAAAGTTGATTTTCGTCATTTTTATTTGTTTTTGTTATTAAATTTAATTTGCACATTTCACAATTGAATTTTTGAATGCATTTTTTTGCCAAGTAACCAGCAAAATATGTTATGCTACAAGTCTCCAACGATATTGGCGTTGCCTCGAAAGTTGTTTTAGGGCTACCAGAAGTTTCTGAAAAACTAGAAACTGATTCGAGCGTTGCATTTAAATCTTCGACTACTACTGGCCCCGGTACTACAGTTACGTTTTCTACATCAGCTGTGGTTAAGTAATTGTCGTCATCATCCTCACAGTTGCTGCAACACGTTGAACATTGCATTAAACTGTAAGTGCATATATGACCAAAACAACAACGGAAAGTTCTCGCTGTGGGATTCCTGTTATATCCATTTTTTTGTCTCATTAATGAAAAAAAATTTTCCAACGCATCTTGTGTGAGACGGTTTGTCATTAAAAAGTAATCTTTTCCTGTAGGCTGAAATTGGCTCATATCTTCTTTTTCACTTTGAAATAGATTCATTATGGCGGTTGTTGACCAAATTATCCCGGTGAAACAAGGAGGAACACTGGTTTTATTTGTTTTTAAATTAATTTTTTTTGCGTTTTTAAACATCAATCGAGCTTTCTCTAAATTTTGGAGTACATGTGTGTTATTATCACTTATTGGCCTTTTATTAATATTACGATCGTAGAGATTTTTACTATTTGCTGCGTCGAACATATCATTTATAACGCTTATGAAGTTGGACGTATTTATTGCCGTGTCAGATATCAGTTCACCAGTCGAGACACACGTTTTAATAGCAGCCGATACAGAGTTACTAAAAAGCTGAATCGCTAGTTTACATGTCATTTTCTGGAACGCATTTGGAGCAAGGTGCGCTGGCGTTATTTTGGTCATAGCCCGAGCAGTATTTTTTATGTCTGTCTCGTAAGTTTTTCGAATGTCTTTGAATGATACAATGTTATTGTTAATTTCAAAATTACCGGACAACAGATTATTTCTTATACTTTTTACTAAATGTGGCATGTCATAAATTAAAAATATTTTTTTTTCATTTATTATGGTAAATGGCCTATCTTCTGTTCCACCGAGTAATTTAAACATTCGTTGGTTTTGAGTACCTTGGTCACAAACAATAGTGGTCGGTATTAGATTGAGTCTAGTCATAACTTTTTCCACACATTTCTTTATAATTATCACTAAATCATCACCTTTTACTCCGTTACCCGTAAAAAAATAACAAAATGGAAATTTCCATTTTTTATATAGTCCGCGTAGCATTATCACTAAAGCATGTGTTCCAAATGTAGGCGTTCGACCCAGAGGCCCTAAATCTTCAAAACCTTCGATTTCATCTAATATTTTATTGTACTCAATAGATTTCATAATAGAAACTTCGTCTAATAAAATAACGCACTTTTTTTCTTCGTACGTAAAGTCTGAGGTTTTAAGTTTAATTTGTTCCATGTACATAGATGGAAAACCAGTGGAAAAATGAATTGAGTTCAACCAACGCTTTACAGTGCTTTTCCCCGGTAGTATAATGCCACTTTTACGCATATAATTGTAAGTGGATGGTGATTTATAATAAAGTGACAAAGCAATTTTTTTTTCTTGGGGAGACCATGGTTTTCGTTTTTTATGTAGAACTTGCATCATTGTAAGGGCTTTGGAATTTTTTGATGGAAATTTTGTTTTGTTAAAAAAATTCGCACAACATTTTTTGACAAATTTTGAGTTTTTTCATTTATTTTTTCAAAGCGCTTATTATAGCTCGTTTTCTTTTTAACATCCTTCGTAGACTAAATAACTTTTGTTTAAGAACAGATTCCGTGAACAATTTTTTTTTCGGTGATTTTTTTGTGGGAGTAGGAAATGAAATCAATGATGATACAAAAGATTTCGTAGTTGGTGTAATAGATAAACTTGGACTTTCATCGAACAAAAGCTGCTTGGCAACGGGGCTAATTGATCTCTGACGCCTATCATATTTACGTTTCGGTGTTAAGACTTCAAGCGATTCTGCTAATGTCAAATTATCTAAAAAACAATTATTTTTTGTTTACTGTAATATTTAATTTAGAAAAATCATGAATTCCTTCCATACCCCTCGCTACCTACAATTTTTAATGTGAGATATGGGTTATAGTACACAGCTAGCTGTTATTTACTAAACAAAACCAAAGACAGTTGCGTGCTCAAGGTGGGGAGTTTAGGGGTTATAGCCCCCCCATTGTATTTTTTTTCACCGAATTATTATTATTTTTTTTTTTTAGCAAATTATTATTTATTAGATATTAGAGCTGTTCCAGAGTCATTACTTGTTATTAGTTATTAGCAAAAAGTTATTACTTATTATCAACTATAAACATTCACTATACAGTCTATATAATATACCTATTCCTATACTAGTCTATATATTATACTATATAATTGACGCAGTCAAATGCTTAACAAAATCGATTTTGGTTTTTGGCGTAACTCTAAAACAAATTATTGCAGAATGTAGATATAAACCATTTTCACTTTTTGTTTATATTATTATTTTCTATACATGATACAATTTTCAAAATATTGGATTTTTTTTTCAACTGTTTACGGACATTTTCAGTTTCCAATTTTCAAATATTTTTTTTTTTTCTATGAATATCAACAAAATTTAATTTGTTGGTTAAAAAAGCTTGACAATTTAATACGAGGCTCCTAATACGTTGTTACAGTAGTAGTTGAAAAATATTAAAAATACAGTCATAATTTATTTTATAAGTATTTTACTGGATGTTTATATTCTCATTTTCTAAACACCATAAAATTAAAATTTTTTGACTCATTTTGAGCTGTTAACGGACACTTTCAAATTTCAATTGTTTAATACAATGCTCCTGATATATTGTTACAATACTGTTTGAAAATATTAAAAATACATTTGCACAATTCAAATTTGGACAAAATTACATATTAAACCCTAGAATAACGATTTTAGTTACCTATTTAGTTATAGTTTAAAAATATTTTTCGTGGACAATTTACGTAGTTTTATGTGGTTAAGACGATACAAGTATATTACAATTTTATTTAATTATAAGTATGAAACTATGAACAATTGAACATCTATATAAAAACCCAACATTTTTTAATTGTGTCAACATTATGTACCTACCTGTAGCTACGAAGGCTTCTTTAAATTGGAACTGCCCTTTTTCAGTAACTGTATCTGCAGGATATAATGTGTTGTCCTTATTTACACTTTCTTCTGTATTCCAGACGATTTAAAATTACAATTTTAACAATTTTTAACAATATTATTTTTTTATATTTTGTTATAGTCTAACCTGGAATTATATTTTCCACTAGGAACCTTGGCGATCTCTTATTGGATAATTTACTAGAAGGTCCATTTAAAGGCACCGTCTTATGCGTTGCTGTAAAATCTTAAAGAATGAATACTTAACTCAATTTTTTTAATAATGAAACATTATGTATACAATTTAACTATAATATAAGGCTGTATCTAATGGTCCAAACAAATATCTACATATCAATTAAGGCAATAATTATTAATTACCGATAAGCTTAAGAGGACGCTATACCCACATAAACGACATACACAAAACGAGTTTACGTAATCTGAGTAGAACTCACTCAATTTTGATGTTAAAATGAAAATACCTATTACAAAATTAAAAGATAACAACATTTTGAAGGCCAAGATGGTAAGTATAAAAAAAAAAACATTAAATGTTGAAAAGTTAAAGGTAATTTAAAAATGTTGTAATTTTCGCTATTTCTAAACGATATAATGATTAATGAACGTTATATTAGGAATAATGAAGAAAACGCTGACTTGCCCTCAGAAATATTATCACAATTCAATTTTATAATAGATATTTTTACTCTAGAACCAACATTGAGTGAGTTATACACAGACTGGTCAACGTGTTTTGTCTAATAGTAGGTAACTCGTATAGGTGTGTAAAACCGAGACAAGACGTAACAAACTGACAACACATACGGGTGTGACGTCCTCTTAAATATTATAATTTATAACATAGAGAAGAAAAGTTAGTTTATATATAACAAATTTTACCCAGAGAATATTCCATCGGAACAGCATTTTTTTTTAATGTGCGACGAATTGTACCAACTGGTTCGTTGTACATTTTAGTATCAAAATGATTAGCACAAATGTACCTTTTTTTCAACCGTTTAGGGCTGAGTGACACTAGCTTCATATTTCCTATGTTTGATAAAATAAAAATAAGTAATACAGTAACCCTCAGTAATATCATATGGTAATATTTATTTTTAAATAATTTACCTGAATTTAAAATCCATTTTTTAGCCAATTCTTCATTAGTAGGGAAAGAATAAAAACTATTCTTAGAGGTTCTCCTCGACAAATTACAGTTAAAAAACATACATTTATCACCAGACATTTTAAAAAAAACAGACAGCTAGAACTCTAGTAGAGCTATAGAGCTCTGTACTCAATAATTCCTATGAATCAAATGAAAAATAAATCTCGAAAATATTATCAGTAGACAGTATTTTTGATCGTGTACCAAAGAAAGGATTTTCCAAGACCTTTTATACGATAAAACAGTATACTATTTGTATAATATTAACGTTTAGGAACACTATATATAGAAATGTGAGTAACCGGTGGCGGTCGGGACTTGAGTTTGACCTGGCCCCGCAAACAAAACATAGCTGGTGTTTTAAATCAAATCGTATATAAATGTATTTAATTTCCTTCGACCGAATGAAGTTAAAAATAATATGAGTAGTGATATGAGTAGATTTAAACGTAAACAGTTTGATGACAAAATATATAAATGTTTTTCAAATAACAAATATCACAATTTATGTCGAAATCTACCTTGGATATTGATCAGATGATGAGACCTAGGTATAATCGTATAAATAAATAGCTATTGATTGAGTTAGTTACAGCACTCAACAGAAAAAAGGTGGGCAAGTGGATGTCACTCTGCTTTACAGTAGGTTACAAGTGGGTCACTGGATGTTATTAAATTTGAATTCAATGATATAATATCATTGTATACGAAAAACGATTCTGAGCAAAGACGGTATGTCAGCCTACAATATTATTGTAGGTAGGCATATTTTATGATATTATTGTGATAAAAGTAACTAATTTTAGTAATCTAATATCCACTACAGTAGGTTAAATTCATTTTCCCCAAAATAATTACATTTGAAAATATCATTGTGTTTATAAAATATAACAATACATTTAGAACATCGATTAATTTATTTTCTGAAAAGAAATCATAAAGTCAAGGTTCAAGAAAACAAACTCCATATTTTCTTTTAATTTACAAATAAGAATAAAAATATGAACATTGTATTTTGTGTTTAGTTATAGTGTTATGTAAAAAATTAAACTCATAAAAGGGTCACGCATAATATTTTTTTTAAATAAGAACTATTTTTTTTCGCTCATAAATTCATATATTATGCTAATCCAGCGAGTCCAAAAAATTAAAAATCTATAGGGTCTTTCCCCTTAAATCCGTTACTGTAAGTAACATAATATGGCAATGATAACACAGAGCGTACGTAGCGGCGCGGCGAGTACACCTTCATTTTTATACCGATAAGTATTTGAAGCAACCGGAACGCAACCGGATAGCGGATCACGCACAGTAGTCTATCAACACGAAAGTGAGCCTCGTATCGTCGGTCCCCACTCCTGCAAGGCTGCAGTCACTAGCGCTTACAACGTTCCCCGCCAATACTAGGCGGGTGCCCACAGCGCTGTATAACGGCCGCCGCCAACTGACGCGCAGCATATTTTATTATTTTCTATAGCAGTGGGCTATCTATAGTATTGTGGCGAACCAGTGCCTTCACCACATACTCCCTCCCGATGTCGGTCGCGCTCCCAGTGTTGGCAGCACCGCTCGGCCTCCGCGTCGTTCGCGACCGCGAAGTGTCGGGCGGCTGCCAACGGTCTCTCCGCCGGTAACCGCGAAACTGAAAGCACGTCGCTAACGATCACGCTCTAACAACGCGCTCGCACGATCCACACAAGAAGCCGCCATCTTCGCCGTCCGCGTGCTCGTGCTACCGTCTTCCGTACCCCGCGACGCGACCACAGGTCTCTCTCGCGTACGCGACGTAGCACGCACTCCGCGACGAACACACGGTGTACCCACGCTCAACGCGGCAGAATCCCGACCCGTGTGTCGGAACCCGCAATCGCACGTGACAACCGTTCAACCCCCGAGCGCCGATCGACTCGATCCTTTTCGCCTGTTTGTAGTACATAATTGTTTCCTGTAATAAACTGCGCATCGCGCACCTTACACGTACACGCGTAATTGTTTATTTTGTAATCGTTGGTGTTCGGTCGTGATAACGACCCGAACCCCACAGTATTTATAATCAATGATAATATCTAAATGAAAAATAAGTCCCCCACCAACTTGTTTTCGGCCACTTTTATTGTTTCCCGTATACCTAGTCATTTCCAGAGACTTCCGACGCGGACCACCTACAGCAGACATCATACATTATATCAAAGACTAATAATACACTATTAAACAATTTAGATTATTTTAATTAGATGCCAGATATACAATTCTACATTCATACATGGCCAGTGTTTAATTATATATTATTATAGAGCCATACACGGGAAATAAACGAAAATTATTTTGTTTTCTAGGCAAACCGAATTAATGCTTATACCTACCGACAAAAAAGAAAAACCTGTTGATTTTGTAATCTTTTTGTAGGTTTGCCGATGGGTCCACCACCACCACTGGACAAGGGACTCCATAGGAATGGATTTTACATAGTTTACAATAGTTATGTATATTATATATTATGATCGACAGAGTCTATAATATTATATAAATGTTATGCGCATATCCCGAGATTTTAAAATCGAAAACAGTATTTTTCTAGCTTGACATTATTTGTATGCATACCAGAATACTTATAGATAATGATTAAGACTTGGAGACACGAACGCTGTTTCAAATGACTCGAATAATACCGATAAACCATTGTATTGAAAAACTATATTTGTGGACATTAAATTACGCGATACACACCAGCTTACATCCCCTATCTTTAATAGTAAAATGTCCTTACGCATAGTCAATTTATGTGGCACATAACACATAGTTTAACATATTGTCTTATGTGAAACATAAATTGACTATGCATACGGGCCTAAAACTCTAAACTATAAACGTCTCGTAAACCGAACACCAAAAAAAAAATAAAAATAAAAATTCAACATAGTTCAAAAAAAGTCCTTATTTGTCATAGCAGTAGGTACCTACATATATATTTTCGCCCTATACCTACTATCGAATACTTCAAAGAAAATATTTCCAAAACTTTTACAAGCAGTTATTTACTTCCAAAGCTATAATTTTGACTATTTGTTAAGTGTAATGATATTTTCTTTCTGAAACAAAAACGAATATATTTTATATTGGACGACTAAAAATAAAATAATAACTGATACAAATAAATGATTTTACGTTTATAACAGGCCAACGGGGAACACGCTAACTACGTTACCTACCTATTCCATTCCAACATGAAAAAAAAAAAACAAAAACATCAAACATAATTTATATAAAATAAACTATCAATTGGATAACTGATTCGTATTGATAGTTGATACGGTTTTTAATACAATCCGTAAAAATATATTAATAAAAAGTAGGTCAATTATATTGATAATTATATTATATGGTATTTTTTCTCAATTTATTTAAAGCGATCAAAATTCAAAAAATCTTATTAATTACTGAAGCACCTAGGTACTATTGTATGGTCCCTTTACAGTCCATTATATTATTAAGCATAATGTTTTCCACCCCAATAATTAAATCAAATATTTTTACTGAATGTTAAAATATAATATTCAAGTTTAGATATTCTAAAAACACAAAAAATGTAGTCAAGAAAAGTTGTTTTTTTTATAAATTATACCAAAGCTATGAGTGTTAAACAACAATAGATTTATATTATCAATCAAAGTTTGGAAAAAATATTTTTAAATACCTCAGTTATGGTCACATGAAACATAAACATTAGATATTTAAGGGGTTCCCTGCAGAAATAATATAATTGAATTTGCTATTGAACAAATCAATGTAGACTTCTATTGTCTTATGTTTCATTACTAAAGTTTTAAATTCGCTCTGCCGTGCATTTTATATTATTATTATCCCATCAACCAATATAGTATTAATAAACTGTTGTGCATTGGCAAGGAAATGAAAAATAAACTCGCCAAAGATTTACTTTTCTAAATGAATACCAGTTAAGTTGAGTTTACGCCTATGAAAAAAAAGTACCTACTACATATATATGTTTACTTGGAACCTGCAAACGATTAAACAATAGGTACCAAAACGCATTACCCATATCTGTGCACAGTAAGTTAACTGTGGAAATTATTTTTGTTATACGATTTTTAATATAAAGAAAGTAAACATCAATAGCGCGATTGGAAAATACAGAGACGCAAAGAAAATCAATTAAATAAGTCACAATAATAGGAGTCCAAGTCACTCGACCCTATAACTTTATTTTATATTTTGTTTGTATTATATATATTTTTTTTTGTCCCTCACTTTTAATTTGCATTCGGAGACCCTTAGTTATAACACTGGCATCTTTTAGAAGGGGTAAAGTTTCAAGAGTTTTCAAGGGCTCGTTAACCTTTTCCGCTTGGCCATTCTCAAACAATAGTCGTTCAAAGTTTATAATAGGGTCGGCGACCATAACCCGGGCCAACGAAATAAGGTGAACAACCCATTAAATTATAAGAAATAATCACAGCCAAAAAAAAAAGCCTAAAAATTAAAACAGAGAAACGTATCCAAAGATCAAAACATAACGATGTAACATTGTAATGGGTTTTATCAAACATTTCCAACGTTTATTCTCAAGATTTTGCAGTCGAGATGCTTTAGCTGTTTCTTATATCAGTGGTAATTCGCCAAATTCAATTATCCTTACACCAACGAACACTTTATGCATGGGAAATGTATAAACTCCTTTTCAAAACATTTAACATGCCTATAGGCTATAGTCGTTGATAACAATGCTGTAGGACATTAAAACAATTATATTGCTGACCGTAGGGAAAAACTTAAACAAATTATTTGTAATTTTTATTCAATCACTAAATTCATTCATTTGATATATTTTTTTAATATTGAAAATGGTAAAGAAATTTAATAAGATACCTATACTATGTTCGATTTCTTTCTATCTTCCAGAACATATTATTTCAAAATACTTGAATAATATTTAAAAATGTTAAAACAAACCTATCGAGAAAAATACACGGGTAACATATTCTAAACTTTCAAAAGTTTCAACAAATTTGTATTCACTCGAGTATACAACTACAATTGTGTAAGAAGAATAAGTAAGAAAATAGACGGAGTGTATTCAAAAGTAGCACATGCATGATACAATTGTGAGTTATAAGTTAAAAGAAAATATACTTTAGATACATCATGAAGTTTACTAGGTATCGAATATCATATTTTATTTATCTTAGATGTACGTTTGCGTTTTTCTTTCGATTACGAAAATATTCAAGACGTATACATTTCATAAGTTAGTTTTCATTTTCCATACCAAAAGTGTAAAAAAGGGGGCATGCAACTTTCCTGTACTCGTATGGAAATATTCTGTTTTGAACACAAATCAAAGTAGTTACCTACAAAATGATTTTAACCATGGTTTAGCGTGAAATCTGTTAACGGATACTTTTGATCTAGAAAATATTTCCAAAACGGAAGCAAAATATTATATAAAAAGTCATTCTTTGTAGCACAGATAAGTGATAACACTGTAGCATACGGATAAAAACATCGTTAAACCATGTATGCATCATTTTACTAGTTTTATTCGACAAATCTAAATCGCGACTAAAGTTTTTTTTTTTTGACATAATGTAATATTAGAAGAAAAAATATTTACATCTGGTAAATACGTACCTGCTGCAGTCGAATCTTCAAAATCAATATTATTATTATTTATCCCTTGCCGTTTTTAGAGACTAAGGAGACCTCTTATCACATTATTATAGTTAAAATATTATTTTTTTGCTGATTTTATAACTCGTCGTTAACAAATAATGTACCTATGTACATATGAAAATAAAATATTACAGCGGAATCATAGAGCTGTCATATTTGCATAATTATAATATATGTGACTTTTGTGTTTCCCAAAGAATGTCGGTAGGTAATCATTGTCACATGAATCAAATGTGTGGCCATTATGGCAGTATACTAATTTACTGTAGTATACCTACTACCTAGTTGTGTTGATGACTGTTAGATCCTGGGTGAAATCTAATTTAGAAGTTTATAGAAATAGGCATGTAGGGAAATTTAATTGGGAAAGGCTAAAAAAATATGTAAGTATTAAGAAAAGCAATGAAAAAATAAAATTAATTACATTATCTATAGTATTAATATTAAATACTGTAATTTTACGGTAATAAGCGTAATTTTCATGTCGTAAATTAATTTCGAACAATTTAGTATCCATAGTTGCATACGTATTTTATAGGTACCTACCTAGTAGTACCTACATTAGACGATATTACTTATTATGTTTATATTGGCCTGCGTTGGCCTAAGACAAGATTAATATTATGTATTATAATTTATAACTATACCTATGCACTGTTTTACTTTAACATCCGAGAAGGAGCTTTCTATTCACAAATTTCAAATATACGATTTATTTTATTATAGCTTCGCTTGTGTAAAATATATTTAAATACGACAATGTAGTACTGCATACAACTTAATACGTAAACTATCAAAACATTCTTCAAAAAAAATTACCTATGAACCTTTCCAACAAATATTTAAAAAATTACATAACTTGGTATAAATCATATGATGATTAAATTGAGATACATAAACAATATAATATACATTATTAAATTATTGTGTATATTAATGCCTTTTATAGTACACTAATGACTTATATTATGACTGTGAGTTCATAATACCAGAACTAAATCCAGGAGTTACTTTTTTGTTGACTTTTAGTATTGTATCATTTTATTTTTTGGAGTATTTTTTTTATGTGGATAATATTGTTACCATGTAACTACCTATAGTGCACTAATAGTTAATAAATACTGAAGAGTGGTATTTTATTTTAAATTATATTACAATAATTATCATATTGCAATTAAAACTTGCACTAATTGTTTATATTATTTTTGATAGTTATGTATTGTTATCTGATGCTTAGGGTCAGCCAAATCAATACTTGGTTACCACAGACGGTCAACTATAACAGTGAAATATTATACCTACCGTTATGGAAAAATACCGGCAACCTAGATAAGAGCTACTCTAGTTATTTTAAAGGATGATTCACACTAGTCAGACACGTACCGACAGACACCGTACCGTACCGTTCCGATACAGGCATGGTCAATTCATACTGTTCAGACACGTACCGACAGACACCGTACCATACCGATCGAATATACTTAACGACCGTCATTGTTAACATACTCACATTTTCGCTCCAATATCATTAAGTGCCTATACAAGTTTCCCTGTTTTTCCATTTTCTTTATATTTTACCTAAGTTTGAAATATGTTTAAACATTTTACTACTAGCGATTTGGCAATGATTGCTATTGCCCTAGACGAAGAAGAAGAAAGGAATGTACAACAAAGAATATGGGTTCATGATATTTTGTTAAAACGGCACATTGAAGGTGAATTCGTAACTTTGTATAAACAATTAAGTGACCACGAAGAAAAATTTTTTAAATATTTTCGTATGACAAAAATTCAATTTAATGTACTTTTATCGAAAATTAAAAACACAATTAGAAAAAAAAATACGTGTTTTCGGAAAGCCATATCACCACGAGAAAAACTTGCAGTTTGTTTAAGGTAAGAAAGTATGAATTTCGTAACAAATTATTACACTTACTTAATGATACAATTAATTTTAAATTTTTAAGTTTATTAATAAATCAACAAAATATTACAATAAATAATATTAGATTATATTATGATATGATCTTCAAAAAAAGTATAGGAATAAATTTACTATACTATATAAATATCAAATGAAACGAAAAAAAAAAACAACATAATAAACTTTAATTAAAAATCCAAAAATTATTAATTAGGTACCACCTTATTTTATTTTTTAATTTAACAAATACATTAAAAATAAAATAAAAATAAATTCTAGAAGATATTCTTTAAATGATGAAAAAACTAAAAAACTTACTTAAAATTTAAATAGAATTAACTGTATCAATTTTAGTTTTGATTATCTTCAGGAGAAAATGTATTTAAATAGCTACCACATGATGATGATGAAGCTGTTGAATCATATTGGATATTTTGAATAGCAGGGTTAGATATTTCATGTGTAAGTGGATGCAGATATGGTTGTGGAAACTGGGTTGATTGTGGTAGTATGAATGCTGACGATGGTGTATTTTCGGATTGATATAGTTGTTCTTGACTAGGTTTACTAAGTTCACTCAATTCCAAATCAGAGACAATAGAAAATATCTTAGCTTTTGCTAAATTTTGATTATATGGCGTGAATTTTTTTATTGTTGAAGCTATACTTAAAAAAAAATGATCTAAACCATCTTGCTGAGTTTCCGTTACGTTATTTTGTTCTTTTGTTTTTATAATATACTCCATTAATGTTGCAGAAGCTGATCCTGTAGGCTGTTTCCGTTTACGTATATTTGTCTTAATTAATTCTTTTTGTCCTAAAGATAGTTTTTGACTGCGTATTTTATTTTCTGCAGAAGATAAAGTTGTCGGAGACTCAGTATTAACATGTGTAATAGACGAATTTATATCAAAGTCGATATCACCTTCTTCCACCTCAACTATTCCGCTTTCGTCGTTATTTGCTTCACTTTCTCTGTCACTAAGATTTAAGGAGCTTATGGTATCCCTTTCTCTCATATGAGGCCGTAAAAAAGACATTTCTTCTTCATACTTCCACTTTTTTATATACTTTGCTGATTGGCCAGATGTCGTTTGTGATTTTTTCATTGCCCTTCTAAATGCGTCCCTCAAATTGTTCCATGTCTTCTTGCAATCATTCACTACATAAATATATATTACACAATATTTAAAATGTTTCTATTTTACTGTTTTAGACTAGTACCAGAGTTCGAAAGTTTAGGCATTTGTATTATTTTTTTGGTCATAAAAGTACATTTTGTCGAATTTATTTATTTAAGTTTTTAAAATAATTTTTTCTTTTATAGATTTTTGGCAACTGGAGATTCTTTTCAAACCATCTCTTTTAGTTACCGTTTGGGACATTCAACTGTCCAATCAATTGTTTTAGAAGTTTGTACTGCTATTATATCTAACTTAAAAGAAGAATGTATACCAATGCCGAAAGAAGATGATTGGAAAACCATATCTAATGAGTTTTGGGAAATATGGAACTTTCCCAATTGCATTGGTGCATTGGATGGTAAACATGTTGTCATTGAAGCTCCACCAAATAGTGGTTCACTTTATTTTAATTACAAGAAAACATTTTCGATCGTTTTAATGGCTTTAGTTGATGCCAAATATAAATTTATTGCGGTGGATATTGGGGCTTATGGGAAAAGTAGTGATGGTGGAATTTTTTCCAGTTCAAAAATGGGTAAAGCGTTTGAAAAAAATAAATTTAATGTACCTGATGGCCGAGCTCTGCCAGGAACAAATGAAGTTTTACCATACGCAATGATAGGAGATGAGGCTTTTCCTTTAAAAAGTTATATTTTAAGACCATACCCAGGCATACAAATTCACCGTGATGAAACTAAAAAAATATTCAACGAGCGACTATCACGTGCGAGAAAAGTTGTAGAGGATGCATTTGGTCAGCTGTCACAAAAATTTCGTGTATATCAAAGACGCTTAAAGTCATTACCAGAAAATGCGGATAAGATAATTTTCACTACCTGTATTTTACATAACTTTATAAAAAGTGATAATGATAATCAATTTGCATCATCAATGTCCGAACAACTACCTAGACATATTACAAATATTTCAAATCAAGGAGGAAGCGCACCACAAGTAGCATTCGAAGTGAGAGAAAAATTCAAACAATTTTTTAATTCACCTGCTGGTCAAATCCATTGGAACTAATCAATTAAATAAGTGTATGTTATTTTTAAATACTTTTTAATAACTTAATATTATTAATTATTTATAATGTGTTTATACAAATTAATTAAATTAGTAAAATCATTTATCATTTATTGTATAATATGTACGATGTTTTTTTATATTTCTTGAAAATATAATCACCAATTATATACATAGACGATAGACACATAGTATAATATAATATATCAAATATTGTTATTAACTTTTTTAACAATGTGCAAAGAACTTGTATTAAATTATCAAGCTTTTCGACCCAACGAATAAAATTTAATTGATATTAAAAAAAAAAACAAGTCAAAACGTGTTTTCAAAATATTTTGAAAATGTTGTTAGGTTATAACTGGTGTAACTCTAAAAAAAAATACCGTAGATACATGTAATTTTCACTGAATGTTTATATAAGCATTTAATATACACCATAAAATGTTCAAAATATTTTGAGAAGTTTTCAGCTGTTAACAGGCATTTTAAGTTTCCAATTTTTTAATGATTTACATATCAATAAAATTTAATTATAATATTTATAATAATATATTTATAATAATATTACCAGGTATGCCTAAAGAAGTTGAAATGTTTTTCCAGCAGGATTCTTTGTACACATGGTCACTATATTTTTTGTGTGACAATGCATAGAGGCATTCTTGGTCTCTGACGAGTTCAATTAATAACTCTAGGTTCATCACGTATGAAAAATATAAACAAGCGAGAACACTGAGAACAATAAAAAGTTATAAGTATAAGTACAATAAGTATGTACTTCTAAGTTCAAAACTTAGTCAATGTGAATAATCTTCAAGTGAATGACAGCCGACGGATAGAATTATAGAAATGTCTGTTGTTCATTCACACTATCATACAGACCTGTTCAGACCGGATCAGACACGTGCCGTCCCGACAAAACATTCTCGCGCGGAATGCCGGACGGACTCTGTCGGTTCGCTACGTGTATGAACGGAACGGAAACGTTTAAATGTGAATTACTGTATTTAAACAAATATTAAAATATTTTCCGGAACGGTACGGTACGGTGTCTGTCGGTACGTGTCTGACTAGTGTGAATCATCCTTAAGTTTAGACGTTAATCAGCTTCCGAGCTTATAAAATCTGGACCTTGTTCAATATCAGAACATATAAATAAACTATTTGTTCACAATATTTCGGAAACAAGGTTTTCTTTTTATCTCCTGTGAATTAAATTGAAGTCCAGCATTATAGTAATAATAGTATTTCCTAAAGTATTTTACCGTGTCTGGTCGAATAGACAAACATTTAATTACAAAAAAAATTTGAAATTTGTAGATTTACTAACTTAGACTTTTAATATTTAACAGAATGATGTGATGAAACCGAAATCCGACCCTATAATATCTACCCAAAAGACTCGACGAATAAAAAATTTTTTAGAAAAACCCGATTTTTGGCTTTTTAACCGTCATATTATTTTATTCAATCGATATAGCGAAACATACAGGACAAATATGGTAAACGTTTTAAGTAGAAGAATACTCATAAACGTCAAACACATTTTAATTATCACTCGTTTTTAATCTAACCTACAACATATTAATATATTATATGCACCCTTGAAAATATAACGGCGAACATATTGAAACAGTTCTCATGACAACCAAATAAAATAACCTCAAACAAATTTTGTTTAAAATATATTATATTATTTTATTTTGCATTTTCTCATTAGATTCTGCGATGGAGAAAAAATGTTCTATTCAACAGCTTACTGAGGAAAAGGAAATACAAAAAAAGTAATTTGAACAAATAATATACCTATTAAAAATACCCAATATATAAACGTAATGTTTTCCTAAATTTTTTAGAGTAGGTAATACATAATATTAAGCATTTCCAAGGAACGCTAAACTTTGCCCATTTTTATGTTTACTGCTTAGTAAATACTAAATAAGAATACTAGCATAATAAACCTTGACATATTTTTTGGTAAGGTTATAATAGCTTACACTAGAGAATAGTGCTTACCTCAGTACAGTGGCGTGTAACATAGGGTCCAAGGGTTGCTGAAGCGCAACACCTTAAATATGGGTGGGTGGGTATTGATAGAAGAAAAATAGGAAATTTGATAGGCTGGTATAACAGTATTATAAGGGCATGTCACCTAAAATTATTTGAGCAACACCAATTTTTTTTTTATGATACACGCCACTGCCTCAGTATTTTCTTAACGATCCTGTATAATGTTCTCTGAGTATTAATACTAAATTGTATCGACGAATAGTTATAATTAACATCATGTGCTTTCACATATTTTGTAAGTTCACATAAAATATTTGTATAATATCTAGTTCGGATCTTACAGAAAATGTTGCTATATTTTGTTGTTGATGAATTGTCAAGTACTCAAATGTATATAGTTATAGTCTCCTGAGTTTTGAACTGGCGAAGACGATGCTTGATAACACTGTCCCATCCAGTGGCGTACGCAGGATTAAGGTTTTAGAGTTCCAACTCCCTCATCCTTGAACTCTTCCTTCTACAAAAAAATAAAATATTTTTCACTGTCGTAAGAAATACACAGACTAAAAAAATAATTGTTAGTTATTTTTAATAGATATAAAATAAATTGTAAAATAACATCGAGAATCAATGATTCAGTTTTTTTTGTTGCTGATTAAGAACATTGGTAAACGTCTACCATAATCGTAGGCATCATCGATTATTACCACGTTTATTAAGCCCTGAAGATGAGGCTCAATAGATGACCAAGTTAAATACTCAAAACGTAGACTAATTATTGAGAAACTCTATAATTTATTTTATATTATAAACTGTTTAGCCAACAATAATATTGTAATGAGGAAATATATAACCCCCCCCTCAAAGGGTCTGCGATTGTTCTTATGTAAGACCGTAACCGAACTAAAATCCTGCGTAAGTTACTGTGGCCTCATCTTATATAATAACCGATTGTAAAATATTGAAGAAAGAAGATTTATATCGCAAACATTTTGTTATTTTGTTGTCATAATATAGGGGTGCGATATGCTTGCAAAATTGTACTTATTCCATTGTACATGAAGTAGCAATGACAATGGGCATGCATATAGTAAAGCCTGAAGGATCGTGGGATTTGTGGTGGTGTACCACACCCATGGACTTTAAAAAAGCCAAAACTTTAAAAAAATACCAAGTAAGCCATTCTAAATACCAGCTAATATTTGATATAATATTATCATAGACAAAACGTATCGATACATTCATGCAAATAAATCTAATGTGGACCGAAACTTTTCTGACGTAGAGGGCGGTAAAAAAGCCTTTACTGTCCACTAGGCGGAAAAGGGTCATTTTCCAACGCTTCAACCCGCATCGTAAATTAAACTTTAGGTGCAAGCCTGATAAAAAAAAGTATTGAAAAACTCTTGGCAATTATGGTTTCAGCTCTTGACGGTTTTCTGCCCATAATATGTATTTAAATGCTATGTGTTATCATTACTTTAAAATATATATCACCCGATCCAGTGTGAGTAAAGCTAACCGAGTAGCTTTAGCACCATGTCTATACGTAGGTATTGAAAATATACACTCTTGAGACCAGTCTGTTTTTTATTTAAATTCTATTTAAAACATATAGGTGCTAGTTAGAAGGAATAACATTATGTAGAGTGTGTTCTTGCATATAATAAATTTATCTAGCGATGGAATCTATACAAATAGGTACCATGTCACCCGATATTAAAGTAATCTAGGCTGAGACTTTTTTATATGGACATATTATTTGTGTTTATAATATTATTTTAATTCTAAATTCTGATATAAAATATTATTATTTTTTTTATCATTATGAATTGTAGAAGAATATAAATTTTTTTAAAGAATTTTATTTTCATTCTTAAAATAAACCATGTATTCAGTTTATTTTTACTGTCGATAATTTGAATTTATAAGGAGGCAGAGGCAATACGTTTCTGTATGTCACATAAGGCATAACTGAAATTAAAACATTCTAAACTTCAACTCTTCAGTCTTCTCACCGATTAATAAGCATAATAATATAATATCGAATCCTATAAAATATTGAAATGTATGGTAAGTAATAAATTGAACCGATTATGTAGTCTACAATTTTCAGAAGACGAATCATTTTTTGGGTATGTCAGAAATTTGTCGTAAGGATTCATTGGCTCGCAATCTCAACACAATGTCCAATAGTTTTCGAGACGATTATAACTTTTATCCTATGACGTGGTATTTACCATCAGAGTAAGATTTTTCTGATAAGTAATCGACATGCAATACATATAATTTAATTAATTTTAGTTACATAAAATTTCAAACTTACGTGAATCAACATAAAAGTGCAACATATATTTTAAAACCAACAACAGGAAGTCGAGGAACCGGAATATACATAACGAAATCTCCGAAAAAAATTAATCAATATGAGCAAATGATTTGTCAGCTTTATATTTCCAAAGTAAACAAAAACAATTATTGTAAAACTATAAATAATAATGTATATTATTACATATTATAACATAAAACTTTAATTATGTAATAATATTATTCTAGCCATTGTTGTTAGACGGCTATAAATTTGACATGCGTGTGTATACTTTAATAGCATCGTGTGATCCACTTAAGATATACGTTTACAATGATGGTCTTGTCAGGTAAAAATAATATCTTAATATTTATTTCATCTTAAATTTTGTATGATAAATTATGACGTTCATGTATTCAACAATCAATCAAAAAATGATTTTTTACTGAATAAAATTATAATATGTTACTGGCGGATAGGCTATAGTGGCGTAGACATGATTTCTGAAAGGAGGGGGGTCAAAAAAAAAGACATAGCTAAATGGGTGGGGAAAATTGGAAAATCCCCCACTCTCTCACATCTCAAAACTTTTTACTAAGGTAATAAAAAGCCAATGGGAAGTGATCTGACTCCCACACCCCCTTGTCTACACCACTGTCTATAGGAATATAGTTGAATA